TCATATCGAACACTGCTAATCGAAGTTCGCGTGCAGGAATCCGGTTTGGTAGAATGGAGATGAGTTCTACCGCGTAGAGAGCTACCTATCTAGAGAGCTATCTAGAGAGCTAGGTACCCATCATACGGTAATCTACCGTAGTCTAGAGCCTGGGCCCTGGGCCTGAGGTCCCAGCCTCCACCTGTACTCGAAAGCAATGGCAGGGCGGCAAGCCGCAAGCATCATAATACCTAATACCATTGGCACAAGTGTTTACAGCATTCCCTGAAACCGAGGTGTGCGCTTCTTAGCACAGCTTTTCCCTTATCCGAGCGTGTGCGCCCTGGACTTGCGTTTCTTTTGCTGGCTGCAGGACTTGGGCAGGCATTGCGTGGCAAGCAGCACTGACGCCAATTCCCACACCTGAGCTCGGGGCAATGACGTCTTCCAGCAAGGAGCCGACGGACCTTCCCGAGCTGGTGGATCCCAAGCTTCTGCGAAGGCGAAGAGCAGATGCACCAGCCATCGGCGAAGGGCAGGTCAGCGCTAGTGAATGATGACGACATCTTTCCTTGGGTACGATTGGAATCTTTCCTCTTGTGACACAGACTGTGAGACAACCAATTGGTGCCCTAGCGCGGAACGCGCCCTTGGGGAACCAATGGGGCCAGCCAACAAAAGGAGTGATTCTGAAACCTGGGAATGAGTCCACTTTCACAAGGTTGCTCAATGTGCTCATTTGGCCACAGGATGTGGACCTATGGTACAGCGAATTGACAAACGAACATGCTTTATCCACCCAGCTGTGGTGCTTGTCTTTCGATCAGGTCAGCTGGCTTGAAAGAATGCTTGAATGACAGCCGTTAATCGCACTTGACAGAAAAAGTGGGGCCTGGCCAAACACCTGTTAGGGCCATAATCTCTGCGACAAGGGGATCCCCCCACTTTCTACTGCTTTTCACAAGCACCACACATGGCAAAATCTGTCTGTACTTCAAGCGTGCCTTCTCTGATGACTTGCGGAGAATCATTTCAGTCATCGCCGTTGGTTCAGAAGGACCCTGAGGCGCCAAAGTGGATTGGATGCTCATTGAATTGACGAGTTCTTGTGGGACCTTGCAGGCGTTGGATGAGAGGCTGAATGATGCCGGGGCCGCAGCTCCACTGGAAGGTAGATGTCTCCAGCCCCCGCTCGTATTGATCAACCCTGGCTGCACGCTTTGACGTCAGCTCTGTTGGGCTACCAAGTCCAGCCCCCTGCGCTTGCCTTGCTCAAATTACGGCACTCAGGAGGTCGACTGGGCTGGCGAACGCAAAGGTCGTCCAAGGTGGCACCTTGGAAAAGCTCAAAGAAACACCCACTTCTAAGCAGTCCACAAAAGAACGCTATGGCATGTCTGTCCCTGCAATGGAGTGTGCGTCCAAAGTGAACTTGGAGTGAGGTGATGGGCCTCGCATAATTGAGTGACACAATTCAAGACCGACAAATGTCTGAGGAGGGCTCAGATGGTCACCTTTTGTGTCGGCAGGCACACCTTCGCAGTCCAGGGGCTTATGGTGGCAATACAAGCACCTGGCGCCGGTGCCCATCACTCTGGTGGCGGGGGTGGTCCTGACCACCATCATGACCCCCTACTTCAAGGATCCCCTCATCGCCAACCTCATCAAGGAGCACTTCAACGTAAGCTTGCTCAGGACGTGCACCTGTTCTTGTGTTTGACTGAAGATTCTACAACAGCCAAACAGGAGAAACTGAGGCTGTACCGAGTTTTTGTGACCTGGTTTTGTTGGGGGAGTGTGTCAGAACAATGGTTCTCTGGTTGCGACTAGTCAGAAGGACGGTAGAAAGGAGGACTGTTGTTCTGACTGGATTTATGCATAACCTTGTGCAAAGTAACCTCTCGTGAAACTCTCCACGAGCAATCAGAATCACAGATTCAAAGTGTTGCCGGGGGGCGCCACTTTGCAGTATAAATGACGCACTTGCATACACCCCACAACAGTCGCCCGTTGGCAATTTCAGCAACGCCCACCTCGGCCCTTGCCAACTTCTCTGTTCCAGGTCACCCGCCACCATCATGCTTGCACTGTACCCTTAATTGCAACCCTATTCACAGTCAAGGCAGTCCCTTTTCCTCTTGCACAGTGCGCTACCTCCTTTTGCTTGCTTACCATGCACCTTGTTCTTTTACAGCCGCACTACGTTGGGATCTTGGGGTTTGACGCCTTCCTGGGCTTTGTTGTGCCCTTCTTTGAGACCATGGCCAACAGCGAGACGTACGGCATCATTCCGCTGGGATACTTTGTAAGAGTTGTTGACTCCTGTTGCTCTCTCTTTCTTTTGTCATAGTATAGCTCTGCTGTCGTCTGCTCGTAGCGGCTCTTTGTAGTCATTGTGAAGGGCCATGCACTGTGTGCGATCTTTGGCACAGCACCATAGTTGGATTTGTCATACTGTTTGGATATCGTATCATGATTGCTGCTTGCTGAGGGTAAGAGGTGCGGAATCTGTATCCTGCATTGATCGAGTAGGCTTACTATCACGGCAGGATCTGTCTGCCGATTCCCAGTATACATGAAACCAGTCCAATCTGATGAAGCCCCTGCCTGCCACTCTTGCAGATCACGACCCACTTGGGCTGGCAGATGGCGGGCGCCATTGAGTCGTCCCGCGTGGACGCGCGCACCAACTTCTTCGTGCACTTTTACACGCTGGTCGTGGTCGTGGCGCTCGTCATCGGGTCATACGTCATCACGCCGCTCGTCTGGATCGTGGCCTACCTCAGCTTCAACAAGGTGCGCACCGCAAGCGGGCCAAGAATGGTCGCAACCAGACCCGCCCTTGGAAGTGCTGGATGGTTCTATCGACGGCTGTGAATGTCCGAGGCGGCCGCTAATTGGATCCACCGTAGTGCTGAAACCTTTTTCTTGCATCTAGATGAGCTGTCATTCTTCAGAGCCCTCGCTTCCAGAGCCTCCGCCTGCGGAATTTCTCTACTAAGAGGGCTCAGTCGGGACCTGTGCACCCCCCCGGCCATTGGTCCGCGCTCGAGCCAGCTTTCCTTCCTGCAGGTCGCGTCAACCGCCCTCAAGTTCGACCACGACGTGCGGCCGAAGCGCGTCCACCAGGCGCGCATTGTGGCTGCGTGCGTGGTGGTCATAGTGGGCTTCATCCCGTTCCTGGCGGGCATGGTGCTGAGCCACGACAAGGCCAAGTTTATCTGGAACACCGCGCTCTTTTTCACCACGCCCCTCCTGTGGCAGCTCATCTGGAGCCCCTTCGGCCGCGGGCCGCCAAAGATGCACAAGCACACGACCGTTGCTGCTGCCATTGACAGGGAGCAGATCAAGGGCCACCGCGCGGCGATGAACTCGCTGCTCATCATTGCGGGCGGGTGCATCGCTTGGCACATGTATGCAATCATTGCGGTGATCAAGGACCCGACGATCGTGAGCAGCCTGTATAACGTGCTGATGCACTACGAGGGGCACCTGCACACCATCCTCTTCATCTGGGTCGACGAGATCGTGCTCTGGGCAGGTGGGCGCGGCAAGTCTTGTCGGAATCTGTGTGCCGAGCAACTGTCTAAGCTGGCTGATCAGTGTACATTTGCATTTGAGATTCGAGTAGAAATCTGGGTGAGGAGTGCTGGTGTGACGATCGGAACCTGCTCGATCAAAGTCTCTCGAGTGGTTCGAACAACACGCCTACCCGTTCTTCCTGTCCAAAAGCGATGGCGGACACGACAAGAAAATTGTTCGCGGTGGTGAGGTGTCATGAAGGCGATGGATGTTGACGCAATGCGATTCCGTACAGGCTTTCTCATGATCCCCCTCGTTCAAGAGGGCCTCCAGGCTGCCGCGCTCTTTGCGGCGGCGACCCTTGTGGTGGGCCCCGGCGCAGCTGTTGCCTTTTACTTTTTCTGGCGTGAGGCCCAGTACCTGGACATTGTGGAGAAGCCGCACGAGTCGCTGGAGGACCGGAAGGAGCGCTACCGCTCGCAGACGCTGCCCCACAAGGTGAAGTGGACGGTCAGACAAGTGCAAGAGCCGTGGAAGCGGACCTTGTCCCTGGGCCGGCGGCAACCGGCGAGCTGAGGATGAAGGCGCAGCTGCTTGACTTGGGATGAAGACTGTGGTGTACATATGCTTGAACTCACTAGTATATGGGCAGTTGTCAACGTATTCGACGTGTCCCGTACTAGCTTGGAAGCAGCCGGGCTAGTACCTATGGTCACTTGACCATGACACTAAGTTCGTTGCTGCAGCGCCGCAGTGAATCCATTATTAGTAGTATCCTTTACTGTAGTCTCCTTTGATTTGAGTTTCGACATATCTGATCAGGAATCGAAGCAGATTCAGTATTGCTTTGAAAACTCACTGAAGTGACAAGTAAGTGATAGCAGATTCGATTACACGTTATCAGAAAATTTGTGTAAGATATCTACTCAGAGTCCACATGATTGCAAAACGTTGGAGAGCACCGTCCTGTAGCGGCATGAGATAGATTTATAAAAGACGTACCATTGCAAACTTCACTTACAAACACTGCAACCGTCATCCAAGGCTCAAATTTGCGCGAAGACACACGCGGCAGTACGCAGTATGAAAGTGCATGGCGGGCATGTTTGGTCCACATTATATAATAATTGCATTGCACATGATTGGTTGGATCGTTGAACCCGGCCGGGTGCACCGCAGCGGTCACGTCATGCCGGGGTACCGCACCGGCCTTCAACAAAACTCCATCGAAATACTAATTCGCGACAATATGCATGTTCACGTTTAGTCAGTCAGTGGCGTTGATTGTAGCATCAAATTAGCATTGTGATTGAGAGCCTGCATGCGTTGTCCGCAGTTGACGCATGGCGTCCTCGAGCGCCCTTCTTTGCGCTGACACTAACAAGTTAAGGATGGTATTTTTCCGGGGTACCTTGACAGCTGCCCTCATGTTCCCGGTTAACCGACCCTACAGCTATGCTTCCCGGTCAACAAGCAGGCGGCGCGCCGCCTGAGCTCTTTGCAGATCTCGTCCTGTGGGGTTCTTACTATTTGCCAACCGCTCTTTGGATGGGCTCGTGAAGAAACGTCAGGCTAATCAGCAGCGCCTCCTGTTAGAGGACGAGCGGGGGTCAGTGACGGCTGCTCAACCAGGAAAGGGACCTCCGGGAAAACCGGAAAGACTGCTCACCCAGTGTGCAGCTTTGCACTCTATCTCAGTGGTGAAATGTACAGAGTCTTTCAGCACCAAAAGAATGCTCAATGCTGGTTGCCGAGACGATGCGATGGGTCAGATAGTCCAACACACAGCTTGGAAATAGCTCCCCGGCAGGGAATTTATGCTTTTTGGCACGAGCCCATATACATATGCAACACATGCCTTGCGGTGCCGCGCATACTCACCTCTGTGCGGATGGTGCGGCTGCCCTGGCCGGAGCACGTGTTGAGGTACCTGTCGAACAGCGCCGCCGTGTCCTTCACCTGCACGCGGCGCTGGAGATCAACCCGGCTGCAATATGGGCGGTAGAACTGGCTGCCCTGGCACAGCTGTTCGGAATTTCACACCGCACCGCAAAGTAGTCTGGATAAAAGCGAGTCACGGCTCTTCCCCACGTGAAGAGCCGCCTCATCTGATGGGCCTCTGTGTGACGCGACTGAGACCACTTCGCAAACAACGTACGTGAAGCCTACCAAGCTTTAACACCAAGTTGCATCAACGGGAACGGCTCGATCTTGCTACGAGGGCACGTACGCCATCCGAAAAAAACCGTAAGCCAGAGTGAGGCCCATTTGGCAGCCATCGCGGACAAATTGCACTTCGTCCGAGACATCACTTGGCTGGGAAACTTGCAAGGAAAAAACGCCTTACTTCGATATCGCCATCCAGTTCGGTGCTCTCCTCGAGCCCGGCCAAACCCCCGAACACAATCAGCAAGTGCCTGCGCACCAAAGAGCTTGTGTCTCGGTCACGACGGCGTCACATGACGTCAACAGGTCGAGTTTTTGCTTCTTGTGACCATTTTCTTCCACGTCCAAACCAAGCGCAGTTTTAGACACAGCTTCATTTTTGTGGCGAGAGAATGAAAAACGTGCTTTGAGTTTGTTGGGAATCGAAAGCGTCCGCACACAAACGAAGATTGTCAGCAGCGCCCCCTGTTTGACACCGCACAGTTAAATCAAGGCGCGCGAGCTCACTTGAAGGCGGGCAGTGTCAATTCCGTGCTCTGGAGCTTTTCTCCGTGCTCGGACGTCCCCAGCGTGTAGTCGTAGCCTGCCTATAGTGAGAGATACAGCGAGGATGAGACGAAACAATATCGTATGTTGCGAAGCTCTCCAGAATCTTCAAACGCGGAAATCTGGTAAATGTGGAACCTTCTAAAAACTAACCATAGGAGACTGACAGCAACACAAGCACCGTTTGCGTTTGACTTCCCCAAGCTTCAAAGGGTTAGGAAGCAGACGAGCCAACTGCACGTCTCCAGCGTCTAGCGACGACGAACAGCGGAACAATGAGGCTCACCGCGTAGGGGCATTCTGCGAGCACGCCGCTGAGGCCTTTGGCGAGGCGGACGGTGTAGCCCCAGTACAGCCCCAGCCGCTCGCGGGGCTCCGACGGAGACACGGCACTCAGCGGCCGCCCTGTGGGGCGCAAAGCAAACCAGTTAAAAAGAAGAAGTAGAAGCTGTAAAAACGGAATCGCTTCTGAACGGAAAAGCTCTTGAACCCAAAAGGTTTGATTGATGATGCTGAGCCGGGGTTGCGAGGAAGCTGGCGAGCGCGAATTAGCGAATCAATGAAGGACCTTTGGTTGTGATGGGCAGTGAATTGGACTTCGAGCGTCTCGTCTCGAAGCCCTGACGTCATCAGTTATCCACGTTGACCGACCACGCTTCGCTTGAGCACCCTTGACGTGCTTCTCAACAATACACGCTGACATCTCGAGAGAGAATTGACGTTGCAGTTGCGCAGAAGACGCAAGTTGCGAACGTCCGGTGTCCTCTCACCCGCGTCCAGCGCTTCTCGCGAGTCGCCCATAGCCATTGTGACCCGCAGGCCCGCCTCAAGGGACTGCGCGATGCGAACCTCCTGCAACAAGGCGTGACGTGAGCGTGCTATTTTGCCGTGGAACTCGAGAGGAACTTAAGCAAACCAAACGGCCGCAAGGACGACCGACACATCCTCCTCGCGAGCGGCAGCGGGGATCAAAGCTCTTTACCCAGCGTATGAGTGGTTTGACTTAAGGTCGAACTACGGCCCAGAAATACAAATTTCGGCAAGAGAGCGCACTTTTTGCAGCCCCACGTTGACGAGGGCGCCGCTGCCCCCGCTGGCTTTGCCTCCGGCGCTCGGTTTCACGACCACCACCCCTGCAACACAACAGGGACGCGCTCCGGTGAGATAACCAGGCGCAGTGCTGTTCAGGGCCCAAAGTTCCTCCCCGTGCGGGGCGCTCTCCATGCTTTACTTGCTCTGATTCTCACCGGTTTACTTCTCGCTGTAACCATCGCTGTTATGATCCTGGAAGTCGAGGCAAGTTTACCAGTGCCACTTCCTGACCCAGACGCCTCAGGTCTCAACAATCATCTGTCGTCTTTTAACGAGACACGAACCCAATACAAATGCAGACTTTACCTTGCCGGAGGAGGTATCCAACGCACTCTTGTTTCCTTCTTTGAACAACGCATTGCCTCGAACAAGTTCGGCTCTTGATGGAATGCTAACACAAGCATAAGCTGAGGCGAAAATCGTAACGGGCGGCCGCAGGTGGAGCTGACTCACCTTCACGATAGGGGATCCATTCGTGAGCCCGCGCGTGGTGCGGAGCGTCCAGAGGGGCCAGCAAACCCTGAACGGGACGAGCAACGATGCGGCGTTTGAAGAGGAAACTCTAGTGTTGGCAGCTACGAGCGTAGATGTGCAGAGGAGCCTTTTCATCTGCCAACCATCGAACCACATTTCATCTCGGTAGGATGCCAGGAATCGGGCTAGGAAGTTCTTGCTTGTACAAGGCTTAGGCAGCAGTGTGAATACTTGTCTCGCAAGCAGCACTATGCAGATCAACTTGGCGGAAGAAAAGGATCAGTCTACCATAACATCCCAGCTTTTCAGGACACATCGACCACAGATCGATGTTCGACCGTGTGAAGTACGGTCTACTGAAGAGCTAGAGAGCCGCATGTGAGTGAATCTGAAACCGACCAGGACTTGGATAAGAATTACTACGAGTTACAATGAGCACGGGACTCTGGGCACGACTCAAGAAGCGCGCCACTTACTGCTGTCCGCAGGTCTGGGTGCATGGGAATAAGGTGCCGTCGCAGGTATTGCGGAGTTTCGCAGTACTGCAGCAGCCTGGCTAGAAACACTGCCCCACTATCGCCCGCCTCGCCCCGGCGCCACCGGGGAGCCCGACGGCCAGGGTCATCGTCGCCGTCTTCAAATACAACCACCTGGGGAGCGGAAAAGTGGGGCCATCAATCAGTTTGTCGGGGCAGCTGAAGAAGCCGTTTTTAAGAAGAGTGTTGAGTGGGAGTGGAAATTGCTCAGCGGAAGCCCTTTCCAACTACCTTGTACTGGTAGGTAACCTTTGGATCAATGTAAACTTCAGTTTGATGCTTGACAAACAGGGCAGTGCTCAGATCTGCTGACTAGAATAGATAGGTGGGTGCCCGGCATAGGTCTCGGAAACATCCCATGAGCTTGACTTCAGACTGCGGTGGTATAATGTACCCTGCGCTTGCTGGATGCTCTCCATTTTGGAATAAGAACAGAAGGTATGGGCAAGCAGTGCAAAACTGATAGCCCCCATATCTCTAACTTTGATGTGCCTGACCCTCAGCTGATCATAAGTAAGTGACTTCCAAGTGGGGGGAATGTTTGAATTGCTCAACAACCTGCGACCAACAAGATTTGAAAACTACAGCTTCCCCACCTCATCGACGCAGAAGATGGCCGCAGCTCGAGCAATCTGGCCCGCCAGCTGCAAAGGGATGAAACAGGAGCTGAAAAGACATGGGTGTGTGAAAAAGACAGTCATCAGTGGAATGACGAGAAAGGGCTTCAAGCTTCAGCCCCCACACTCAGCAACGGCAGTTGGAAACTTCACAAGTTCTTCATGGAGGTGATGCCAATTCATTAGTTTGACCACTCACAGCGGTGGCTAACTCAAGCGACTGCGCGTTGTCCACGATAGACCCAGCGACTGCGATCGACACCGTCCAGTCCCTTCCTTGATGACCCGTGCTCTGAGTATCCGGCTTGGTGGCAACCTCTGCTGCATTCTTGACCGCTTTTTGTTTCAGGTTTTTCGCCTCTTTCTTCTTCTTATCCTTTGCAACTTTGCCACCACTAGCCTCCCCTTCGCTTACATGATGTCGAGGCCCCCTGCTGGTGTCAGGACTTTTCCTAACCTTCTGACTATCTTCTACGGGCGTTTTGTGTTTCTTTTCATGGTCACCCACCGCTTCCGTCGTATCTTTCCCATTTGCTTCATGCTTCCTCTTCTTCACCTTCCCTGCCGAAGACTTCTTTCTGCTATTCTCTTCAAACTTTCCGCTTTCTAGCTCCGCATGGTGGCTACTTCCTTTCTTCTTACGCAACGCTGAATCTGATGCCTTTCCGTGGCTGGACTTCTGTGGTGGTTCTGGGCCCACTGCACCACCATTCCTCTCATCCTCAGATGCCATCCCTCTCACAAAAATATCAAAGTTGCTGTTCAGAAGCTACCCTTCCTTCCTCATCAATGCCCGCTGGGACTGAACGCCTGCAATGCTGCATGCGTTGGCAATGGCAATGCGGGGCACAATGAACAGTGACCAGTGGCAGCCTTCTTGTCGGCACTGGTAACGTCAAAATTGCCGTTTGCTTCAACCACCCCGCGCCCGAGACACCATTACCAGGCTGGCTACTTCTAGGGTTCCGTCACTAGCGGAGTCGATTGAAAATTGCATGGCCTTCTTCCTCTTCTCCCTTGAACTTGGAAGTTGGGAGGTTGAACTCTATTATAGACTCTACGGTATTATAGGGCAGCAGTAGTTCAGAGAACATCAGAATTGTGCCAACGGCGATTGAGAGGAAGGGGTTCCCTGAAAGGCTGCAGCCATGGAGGGTCTAGCAGCAAAGAGGAAGCAGGCGGATGGAGTGGCTGATCAGGCAAAGGCCCCCGGGCCCCCCGCTAAAGTGCAAGCTGTCGGAAGTGTTCCGTTGATAGCCCCCCCGTGCACACACGAAGTGGCTTTGCCCTCGGATTACCAGCCCCCTGACGGTGAAAGAGAAGCGGGGTTAGGCGACATTCATCACCCTCAGTATAGTGGGCCCATGGCCAAAGAGTTCCCTTTCAAACTAGACGCATTTCAGCAGATGTCCATCTCGTGCCTCGAGCGGCGGGAGTCGGTGCTCGTGTCAGCACACACGTCAGCGGGTAAAACGGCGGTGGCGGAGTATGCCATAGCGATGGCGTTCCGGGACAAGCAAAGAGTGATATATACCTCGCCGATCAAAGCGCTGAGCAACCAGAAGTACAGGGAATTGGAGACGGAGTTCGGGGACGTGGGGCTGATGACGGGGGACGTGACAATCTCCCCCAATGCTGGGTGCATCGTGATGACCACCGAGATCATGCGGAGCATGTTGTACCGGGGGTCGGAGGTCATGCGCGAAGTGGCATGGTGAGGAGGCCTCCTCTTTGTAGGAGGAGTGTCATGTTTGAGAACAAGGGGGCGCCAAGGCTGATGGAAGGGTGGTGGATCAGTAGGTGGTACTGTGTTGAGGGTAAAAGGGTCAATTGGGACATAGACTGATTTGCCAGGCATGATAGCATAAAAACACTTGATTAAATGCTGCTCTACGATGTCAAAACCAGGCACTTCAATGGAAGACAACATAGAACTTGTGCCCACTTGATCTTCTCTCTAGTTCGATTGTTTGGTGAACCCCCTTCTAATTGGCACATCGCCACGATTCCCACCACAAGAGCCAGCGCCATGCCTGTGCTTTTTCGTCTCATTGACTTACTTGATTTCAGGTTTCTCAAAACTTTTGCCAGCAGTGTTCTCAGTGGGCCTCGCATCCATTGATCAACAGCATACATGCAATAGCTTTTCCCAGCGCCACTATTGAGTAACACTCTATGTCTTCTATCTCCATGTCCGCCAAGTTGGAAAGGACGAGCTCACCTGCAGCTCGTTCACTCCCATAGTCCGTCTGTCCCTTTGTTGGCCTGTTGCGCCCACCACTTTCTTTTCGGGCAAATACGAACCTTACCTCCCCAATCTTCCAGGGTCATCTTCGACGAGATCCACTACATGAAGGACCGCGAGCGCGGCGTGGTTTGGGAGGAGAGCATCATCTTCCTCCCGCCGGCCGTCAAAATGGTCTTCTTGTCTGCCACCATGTCCAACACCACCGAGTTTGCCGAGTGGATCTGCGCGGTGCACAACAAGCCCTGCCACGTGGTCTACACCGACAGGCGGCCCGTCCCGCTGCAGCACTACGCATTCCCGGTTGGGGGGGCGGGGCTGTACCTCGTCGTGGATGAGAAGGTGCGGCGGGTATCTGGGAAACCTACGGCACTGTGATCTTACTATCGCGTTAATTAGAAGGCGGATATTAGCTTAGACATTAGACATGGAATTTGCCAAGCCTGCATTCGTTTTCTTGCAAGTTTAAAGTCTGGTTTAACGTCACCATTCTCGACATGCTTCGAAATCGTAGAAGATCTTGTCCTCACTCCCCACAAAAGACCATGGGATATTTCAATCGGTCTTCAGTGTTTCTACAGGTTTTGACAGTCTGAAAATGATAGACTGAATCAAGGCAAAATCTAGTCAATTTCCCAACCCTTCAAGTCATCGTGTGATTGCCACGAAGGTTTGTCATCACGCCTCCACGTCGTTGCTGCCAGGGCAACTTTCGGGACGAGAACTTTACGAAGCTCTTGGCGACCTTTGGAAAAGACAAGGACGGCGAGCTGGGCAGCAAGCTGGCCAACGGGGGCAAGATCACGGACCGGCCGCCGCCCAAGCGGAAAGGGGCCCCCGAGAAAACGGAGAACAAAGATATCATCAAGATCATCAAGGTGCGGAGCGCTTGCAACGCTGTGCGGGCTTGTCGGCCTGCCCCTTGACGTTTTCAAGCTCGACAACAGGTTTGTTCTCATTATGATTGTCGGTGTCCCTTCTCAGCCCTTCTATCAGACGAAGTGTCCTTGTTCTGTGATGTTCTGCAGTTCGCTCCTTTCAGAACAGGCGTCCCCGTCGATAGTGGAGGGACCACGGAACACTCTGGTTCGCTTCGTACTCGATTGTGAATCTTGGCATACATACAAATCACGGCTCGCTGCCCTTTCATTGACAATTTAAAAGTCTTCTTTCGTTTTCAAACAGCAAGTTTGGAGACCGTCGTTTTCGTGGATATAGCCCTCGAAGTTTAGCCTCGCAGCCCCGTACCGATTGTCGCTGACGTCCGTCTCGTGCAGATGATCAAGGAGCGGCGGCTACACCCAGTCATCGTTTTCAGCTTTGCGCGGCGTGAGCTGGAGTTATTGGCGGCTGACGTGGCCCACAAGCTGGACTTCAGCACCGCCGAAGAGGCGGAGAACATCGAACAGGTCTTCAACAGCGCCATCCAGGTGTGTCTGCATGCGTTTTGAGAGGTGTTGTCGACATTGGCTGCTGCAAGTGAGGGTGGAAGAGCGTTGGTGAATAGAGTCCGTCTCGGTTCCCTCGCGCCGAGACAGCTGGGTTGGTCCAATTGTTCGATGCACTAAGCTCATAATCTTCTTGAACACGAGGCTGCTTTCCAAAGGCTTCAAAGGAACATCGGGTACAACTCAGGTTTTGCGAGTCCGTTCCCAAGCTGACAGGTAAGAAGCATGTTCTTTTCAACGAAAACCCTTGCAAAAGGGGTATCTGTTGTATCTTGTCTGTATTGCCATTTCCGAACGACAGTTGAGAAGCAATCCACTCCAAGTTCACACCCATCCTCCGTTCCCTCTTTTTCCAATCTGCTCGCGGAGTACTTTCTCCCTTGAAAGTCGACCTTTCGAGAAACCTTTGACAATCGGAAAAGGAAACGCAAGAAATAACTCGACTCCGCGCCCGACTCCGCAGTGCTTGAGCGAGGAGGACCGCGCGATCGACGCGGTGGCTGGCGCGCTGGGCATGCTCAAGAAGGGCGTGGCGATCCACCACTCGGGGCTGCTGCCCATCATCAAGGAGATTGTGGAGCTGCTCTTCCAGGAGGGCCTCGTCAAAGTGCTCTTCGCCACAGAAACGGTAAGCCCACAAACCTGAGGTTTTCGCACTGGTTTTGAGCTGTTGAGTTTGTCGGGCAAGGTTTGGAGCCGTGTGTTTCCTTGTTACGGACACGGTCCTTTGTGGATCTTGAACGCGGGATTTGGGACGGTTTGGGTTGCAACTGTAGGACAACATTTGCAGCTCCAGTCGGGTCATCGTTGATGGGACTCTGTCAAGTTTCCAATTATTGTTGTTCCGTCGTCGTTCCGCACCGCAGCCAAAAGAAGTATCGCAATGCCGACCCTTGGTATGGATCTGCAATCATTCCTCGGTTCTAATCCATCGCTCCGAAAGATTCGAAACGACGGCGTCGAGTACTTTCCCATCTGACTCAATCGGACAATGCTAGAACCAATGCAGCACACAAAGGATTGCGCCGTCAGTTTCTTGCGCGAGATCGTTCAAATGGTCTATTGGTTGGCTCGCTCAAGCCGCTGATCGCCCCCGCTCCTGTCTTGCAGTTTGCGATGGGCCTGAACATGCCGGCCAAGACGGTGGTCTTCACACAGGTCCGCAAATGGGACGGCGAGGGCCACCGCTACATGTCCTCCGGTGAATACATCCAAATGAGCGGCCGCGCGGGGCGGCGCGGGAAGGACGATAAAGGCATAACCATTACCATGGTGGATGACCAAATGGACATGCCCACGTGTAAAGAGATGATGCTGGGGCGGCCCGCGCCGCTGGAGAGCACGTTCAAGCTGAGCTACTACACGCTGCTGAACCTGATGAGCCGAGCGGACGGGCAGTTCGGCGCGGAGCACGCGATCCGCCACTCCTTCCTGCAGTTCCTCCACGAAAAGGTGCGCCGCGAGATATTCGTAAGACAAAGATGAGCCACTGGATTTATGGATAGCGGTGGTGATGTGATTGTGCGAAGAGCAATGTACAAAGGCAACAGCTGTCAAAATGAATGTGTGCTGTTCACCCTTTCAGTGTGGATCTCTGCAAGGGGAAGCTCGCACGCAGGCTGGCTTGCGACTTGCTTTTGTGCTCGAGCACCGTGCTTGTGTTCGACCCTGTATGCAACCCCCCTTTGTCGTTAAGTTCGTGAGGAGTGTTTGGCTTCTGAGTGTGTCAACTATGGCTGGAGCTCTTGACTGCTGGCGCGTTTGCTGCCTGTTTAGTCGAAAGCTGCGCTCGCCTGGGCATCGTAGAAAGTTGCGCATGATACTGGTGGAATGCCGCCATGTATGTTGCTGACCTTCTCCTTATCGCACGATCCACAACGGCTCTTATCTTCAATTCACTTTTTTAAGACCGACTCTCTCCGAATGCAAACGCGGTACGTGTGCACCACCTAAAGGATGCCACGTGTCTTGCAGAAGCGGCCCAAGCTGGAGGCCGACGCCGCCGAACTGGAGCGCCAGTCGGCGGCGATTGTGGTGCCCCCCCCTGAGTCCGCGGACAGCTACAAGAAGCTGCGCGTCGAGATCGCGGCGCTGGAGAAGCTCATAATGGCCGAGGTCCTGCGGCCGGACCGGTGCCTGCACTTCATGCGCCCGGGCCGGCTCATCCAGGTAATCCTCGGTCCTGTGAACAGTATGCATTTTGCGGTTCACTGAAAATACTAAGCCAAAGGATCACCCGCTCCGCACCTGTGTACCTACCCTATTTGCTTAAGTATCTTTACCCGTCTTCATTAGTGTTAACTGGCTGTTATCTTTCACTACATCTATCAGAATTTCATACAGGTGAGGGGAAACGGGCGTACACATACTGAAGTTTAGGCATAAGTCTCAGCGCACTGCACTAACTCACCCTACCAGTCCAATCTTGTCTAATCGAGACTTGCGCTCTTCGACAGTGTCGAAGGGTAGTGGGCACCGCGTTCACGCTTAAAGCGACTCCCATTGCACCTTGAGGTATTTCAGGAATGCCCGGTCTTTCGTTTTCTCAAGTGCAGATACTTCCAGTTTTAGGGTCTGAGGTACTCAGGAGGAAACGAGGTCCGTGTCTCGCCTTGATGCTTGTATTGGCGTGAAGATGGCAGGGAGGTGCATGTATTGACACTTTTGACAGGGACCGGGTTCAAGCCGCTCATCGCAGTGGACTTTCGTCCCAGTCCGACTCAGGCGAACGGAGCTGTTCTGACAGGACGGCCCTTGAAACACCAAACATGCAACGGTAGAGGTTACCGACTTTTTGAACGGCTTCCTTTCCTCCAGGTTCACGACGGAGTCGACGAGTGGGGCTGGGGCGTCGTCGTTTCGGTGGTCAAGCGCACGCCCCCGGCAGCGAACGTGATGCGGAACGGTTCGATACCCGCCCCGGCAGAGTCCTACATGGCCGACACGCTGCTCTACTGCGCGCCGGACAGCGGGAGAGTAGACCGGAGTCGACGGCCGAAACCGCGGCCGTGTTCCCCGGAGGAGGAGGGCGAGATGCAAGTGATCCCCGTGCAGTTGACGCAGATCACGGCGGTCAGGTGAGCCGTTGGGACAGTGTTTGGCTCAAGGGAGAGTGACCTAGAGGACTATCTAAAAGTAGGACCTTGTACCTTGGGAGTATAGCTTTCCTGTTTTGCAGCCCAATGCACAGGAATTCCTGACTTATCTATCCACCAGATGCGATACCTCTTAACCCATTCTTTGGTGCACTCACTCGCAATGGTCCCTGTTTTCGCCCACTTGAAAACGAATGCCGTTTGTACATCCAGCTTGCAACCTCAAACGGTCGGATCCTAAGTGCCTGAACTGGCGACCTCATCACCAAGCCGTTGATCTTAGAATCCTTCGAGTCGTGCTCTTCCAAACCCCGCAATTTCGTTGCTCCTTTGCCGCAGCTCGCTGCGCGTGACGCTGCCGGGCGACTTGCGGCCCGCGGAGGCGCGGCGCATGGTGCTACAACAAGTGCGCAGTATGGAGCAGCGCTTCCCGGACGGCCTGCCTCGGTTGGACCCCATCGAGGACATGGGCATTCGGGACGACGCGTTCCTAGACGCGGTGCAACAACTGCAGGACAGGGAGACAGAGCTGCTGGAACACCCGCTTTTCAAGGTCAGCCTCCGGCGGATCGCACTCATCCTCATGCTCAGTCATGTCATTCGTGACTAGTCTCTTTCGTTGTTGTTTCCTTGCCCGCTGAGGAAAGGAAGGAGGACGAGGAGGCGGGAGCTGCTTTGCTGCATGGTCTTTTCGGTCTTACGTCGCTACTGTCCTCCACATGTTTCGACACCACCTGAGATGGGTTCTTGGCACTGCAGAAAGCAGCTCAATCGACGCCGTGTATGTTGCAGTCTGGCAGCGAGGCGGAGACGTACGCGGCGATGCAGAAGAAGGCGCAGCTGGACGCGGAGGCCGCCAAGCTCAAGCTCCAAACCACCGCGGACTCGCAGGTGGGCCCCGAGCGTATGCGCATACTTACTTTTAGGGTTTTAGGGGCCTTAGGTTCTTTAAACCTAACCCGAAACCCTGAAACCCTAAAAAGCAAACGGAGGAACTTCAATGTTATCTTCAAAAGATTCTGGCAAATAGAACTCTTGCCGTTGCGCTCCCTGTGCCTGAGAATGAGTCTTTCTTGCTGGTCGAGTGTCTGATGTCGAGGTACGGGCCGGCTTTTCGGATCGATTGCTGCTTGCTATGATTTTCTGTGACCATGCAGTCTTGGAAAGTCGAAAAAGAAAGCCGTCCTTACTCTTAATCACAGCTGCGATTTTGTAAGCCAACGTTGAGGTACTGCGCTTCAGTTCCTGCATACCGGCAAGACGATCATGTGAAGAAACTGCCTCATCCCCGGCTGCACCTGTTCCGCGACGACTGAGCAACCAGACCACTCGCTGCACGTCTGGCATTTTAGCTTCCTCGTTTCGAAAGTGAAATGAACGGGCACTCACGTGTTCATCCACCCTTCCTCTCCCCACCTTCCAGCTGCACCTGTTCCGCGACGAGCTGCGTAACGGAATTACTTATTTCACCAGCTCCCCTTCGTATCACTGTCTCCTGGAAACAAAGTAACAAAGGGACTCCCGTCTCTCCCCCACCCCCAGCTGCAATTGTTCCACGACGAGCTGCGCAACACATACTTTTTTGCACATTGCACCACTGCTACTTTCGTTCAAGTGAAGAGTTCTTACAATCATCAACATTTACCCCCCCGCTTCCAGCTGCACCTCTTCCGCGACGAGCTGCGCAACCGCGGGCGCGTGCTGAAGCGGTTGGGCCACATAAACGGCGACGGCGTGGTGCAGCTGAAAGGGCGCGCTGCGTGCCAGATCGACACCGCGGACGAGCTGCTGGTCACGGAGCTCATGTTCAACGGCGTCTTCACGCGCCTCGACGCGCACCAGATCGCGGCCGTCGCCAGCTGCTTCATGCAGATGGAGAAGTCCAACAAACAGGTGGGAAGCAGGGATGTTGGTTCTTCTTTGACGAGGTTTGACTTGGTGGACTGGAGGCATCGAGTAGATATGATAGCTGTCTTCTGCGTTGGAGAATGAGCACTGCAGCAGACTTCTGACTTGCATACTTAGCAAAACCGGAGGACATCAATGGCGTGCTTTGTGGTCAGGAATGAGTTTGGCATTGTTGGGGGCGGGTTCGTGATGAGACGCAGACCTCTTTGAGTCCGCTGGTATCTTACATCTAACAAATTCGCCTTGAAGGGGGCAGCAGGCCTTTTTCGGCCCCCGGTTTGAAGTGGGTGCGTCGATCCAAGACGACGAGCGAGAGCTTTCTTGTGGGTCATTTATACAGGCGAAACTTGCTGCCCGCCTTCTCAATGCAAGAAGGCTTCGTCATGCATCTTTTCAAGAAGCCGGAGTCAAGGACTTCCGGAGAAGCCGCCTGACAAAAGACGTTGTTTGGCAACGATGAAAGCAATGTTGATCCCTGCTCCCGCTTTTTGGTTGCCAGGTAAATTCGATCAAGGAGCTGCACGAGCCGCTATCGGCGCTGCGCGAGACTGCGGCGCACGTGGCGACGGTTCAGGAGGAGTGCAAGATCGAGATCGACGTCGACGAATATGCCGACAGCTTCAAGCCCTTCCTCATGGACGCAGTCTACGCCTGGTCCAAGGTGCGGCCCAATCCTTGTCTGTCTTAACCGTCAAGTTGATATAAAAACCTGTGGCAAAAATCCGTCTTACTTAACCTTCTGGAGTTCTCAAAGTTGTCCTTCTTAACTGCGACAACCACGTGGCAAAGGCTGTCTCTCTTGGTCTTCGGATCTGCAGACACCAGGTGGTAAAATTGTCTTTCTTAAGATTCAGTATTCAAAGCCGGGTTGTTGGTTATCGTCAGGTCAGGCAAGTCAGCCGTAGCGCACATGCGTGCAACGAAAGTTTTTCCAATGTAGCAGAACCGTGTTAAACCACCGGAGCTCAGAATCTTTAGCCCTCTCCGAATCTGGCGTAAGCAGACTTTGCTGAATTGACTATGTTACTCATGTTATGGTACCAAATGAGGTCATGTTCGTGACACTTATCTTCTCAACCGACAGGGTGCCAAGTTCTCTGAAGTAATAAAGCTGACGGACAACTTCGAGGGGAGTCTAATACGAGCAATGCGGAGGCTAGACGAGCTGCTGAACCAAGTGAGTATCACCGGTCAGATTGGTTGACAATGTGGGATTCTATTTCCGAGCATCTTCATGCCATAATACCTTGCAGAATATGTTTGCGACAACTACTGCTTGTTGTAAGAATCCTCTGCAGAAGATAGGCTCTGCTTTGCAAGTTTTTGCGTTTGGCGCGCAACTGGTATGATGGACATGCAGCAAGCCGCAATGCCCCGTCTTCCGTATCGATTTGGCCGCTGACGTGCTGTGTGCTTGGTGCAGTTACGAACAGCAGCCAAGACTATCGGGGACGAGAACCTGGAGGAGAAGTTCCAAACGGCCAGCGACAGTATACGACGAGGCATCGTCTTTGCAAACTCTTTGTATGTATGATACGCAATTCCTGGGGAGGACTGTTCAAGAGAGTATATAAGATTGATTGTCCAACTGAAGCGTAGTAGCCGGAACTTGAAGCCCGTGCACGCTAGCCGCCGGCGCCCAGGCGCAGTCAATCACTGGTTCGCGCTGCACATACAGTAGGTTGCCTGTGTGCAAGACAATCGCCTTCATGATGTGATTGCATCCAACGAGTACATGTTCATGTTGGCAGGGCCATGTGGGCTAGCATCATGAATTGTCCGAGCTCACGGCATGCTGTATAGCTAGTTAGCTCCACTAGTGCAGCCTGTTCAATACGCGGTGCAATGTACCACATGCATGATGTCTGATCGGAAGCGTATACCAAGATTTTCCCGATCCATGATTCCAAGGACTCAAATGCAGCATGGGAGAATGATGGCTGCGCAGGCGGCCGCGGCCGCGGCGAGTTGTACAGACGGTCGACACAATACTCGAGTGGCAGAGCCGGATCAGCACTCTCACTACTTGCGCAGCAGATATATGCATCAGCAGGCATGCATGCAGGCTGGGGCCGTCAGGGCGGCCAAGTTGAGTGCATTTCCTCAGCCAACATTCAAACCATGCAACTGCTTGTCATGTGACGGTCAACCCGGCCAGACGTGAACATGCATGATACTGCACTGACGTGCAGAAGACAATCGAGCTAGGCTCATATTGAGTATATTCGGCAACTCGTATTAGGCGGCCAGTTGATGAAAGGCAACCATCCCAGCTGTTTTATGCCCGATGGCTGATGGCAGCTCGTCCTTGTCAAGTCCGAAGTAAGTTCGTTCATGTGACTTTCGAATCAACAACACTGGCATATCCACATGCTTACCAACCTTCCAAGCTTCGCTGAACACTTTTACATCTGCCCCTCGTGCAAAACGCGAGGCAGACAGGGAGGCTCGTGCGAACGGTCCCCTCGCTCAAGTCTTTCTATCATATTGCAATACCTGAGTGCTTATGCAGCTTCCTCCGCGGCTTCTGCTGCGGGCTCCTCTTCCGATTCGTCCTCTTCCGCGAGCGCACCCTTGGGTGGGTATCGCTCGTTCAAGTGCTGCAGCATCGACTTTGTGATGACCAGCTTGTCGGCGCGCAGGATGTCGTACAGGTTGACGGCGCCGGGGGTCATGACCTTCGCATTGTTGATGTTGCTGATGGACTTGGCAACGGCCCGAGGGATGGGGGCGTGGAGCAACAAGAGCACGTGCTCCTCCTCCGCAGCAACCCCCCAACTGCACACCAAAATCAGATTCAAACCAAGATTCCAGCTGCTTCCAAAGCCCAAAAATCTCACAATACATTATATACAGAAACATACAAGACAGAGAAGCTGTCTTCTCCCATGGTTTGCAAGATGTTTCGACGTCTTAGCAGTACTCCTGCAAAAGATCGGAACTTCTCATCTGCTGCATGTGGTAGTCAATTCCTTTAATGAAAGGCTTAACTCCATCCAACACCCACTGATTGTGTTGGATGAGTTTTCCCAAGGAACGACATGCTGATAACTTTTCCCCCTCTTCACGAAAGTTCAGGCTACCAGCAGGCTTCTCCAGAGACTGCATATGTCAATGTTCCTGGTTGAGGTGCGGGCCTTTGGGGACAAGGAGAAACAGAAAGGATGTCAATAACAGCACATGCCCAATCGTGTGCAGCGAACTGTGTACAAATGTGTACATTGGTGGTTGAAAAGCTACATTCTGTTTCTCTGTAAAGCAGGACCATCAAATTCAAGTACGCGACTGCCAAGGGCGATAGACAAGGTGTCATGCAAACGCTGCTGGATTGATCAGGTGGCGCTATGGGTCCACTTGCTGCGAAACGAACATCGTGTGGAGGAGACAGTGCAAAAGCCAGCCACAAATGTGCTCCTGCGCCTTGTATGCTTCCGCAGCCGCACCAATATGGTAGCAGATGCGAACATCACCCTTCAGCCACTTACAAAAGCATTCCTTTGAAGGAGGTTGCTCTCACTGCAGACCAGGAAGCACTATGCTAGCCAGGTTGATACGCAAAAGGAATCCCACGAGACCAAGATTAGTTTCCCTAAAAGGACAGAAAAACTGCGTCACACAGAACAGTCGGAGTGCTACACGGACAGCAAAGATGACGACGGGCCAGGCACAACCATCAGCCTGTCACACCATTACCAAAAGCCACGACATTGTGGGTGTGAGTCTGAGAGCTTGGCGTCATTCTGCATTCTGCATTCTACAATCCCCCAGTACGTTCATTTACAAGAGAAACCAGCACAGGCGCAAACGTACTGCTCGAGGCAAGAACCAGGAGGCCAGTGGAATAAATCAACCATTCCGAAAAGCGAAAAGCGCCATCGAACTTAGTGATCAACGGCGTGGCACGACTCCCAATGCAGAGTCGCAGTGGCACTCCTTGAAATATTTGCCACAAACCCTACCTTTGCAATGCACTGATCATCTTCTTTGTGCTCGGCTCCTCAAACTTGTCATCGAAGTCCTCCACCACAACTGTGCTAGTCGCCGCACTCTGCAGCGCCGTGCTGATGGACAGCCGCTTCTCCTTCTTGTTCATCTTGATCCTCCAGCTCTTTGACCTCGGCCCAAATGCAACTCCTCCCCCCACAATCAACGGCGACCGGGTGGACCCCCTCCTAGCATTGCCCGTGCCCTTTTGCTTGTACGGCTTCCTGCCTCCCCCCCGAACCTCAGACCGGGTCTTGGTGTGCGCATTCCCCTGCCTCTTATTCTGGAGCTCTGTGATCAGACCCCTGTGAACAACTGCGCGCGCCGTCTCGGGCCTGGCAGCGTTCAAGTCAAGGGTCTCTGTGCCGAGAGGCTTGCCTGAAAAGTCCAACAGGTCGAGGGTTGCCGCCATTACCACACCGGCCGTCCGCTTGTTGCATCGTGCCAGCTGGAATGCATCTCGCTGCTGCTTCAGCAACAGAGTGTTGGACTTGAGGCCTGAGAAGGCAAGGAAAGGGCGGGAAGAGGAGCACACGCTGGCCTTTGCTCGGCAGGAGACACCGCCAGCACTGCCCACTGTGCGAGCGACAGCGGCAGTCGCCATGGGGAACACTTGCAAGGGCCTTCAAAGCTACTGCTAAAGATTGGTGATGTCCACTACGGTATGTTGACGTCAATGTCTCAGGCCATGCGCCCAACCAGAAACTGAAAGCGCAGGCGCTCTTGCAAGCACCCCTACCCAAGCAGTGTCTTCCCCCGCAGCTCAGCTAGAGGCTTCTTCCTCGATTCAATGTCTGTTACGCGCAGACACAACTGACTCCTTACTTTGGAAGAGCGTTTCATCCCAATTACTAATTTTCGCATGCTGTGCCGCGCAATCTGCACAGGGACCTTTTTCAGAGCTCGTGCAGTATCGGAGGAGGAACAGGGCGCAACTTTGCCACTGCAGCCTGTATAAGTTGTAACCTGTTTGTGCCTTGGGCAGCGATGTTGGTAGGCGCTGCTCCCGTTGGAGCTCTAATATTGCGGGCTTCTGTTCAGAGGCGCTGCTAGCGGAAGCACTCGTTCCCTGATTGTATGCACCTTAGTCGGGTTTGACTACTCCTTGCACTTTAAAGCTCATTCGTAAGGTGAGGTATGCTCCTGCTTCTTCCGCTACTTCAGCGGGACCTACTGGGTTTTAAGATTGCTTTCTTGAAGTGGAATTGTAGCTTGAGGACTACGCCTTTGCCCGCAAGTTTCCATCTGCTTGTTTCTGCTCCTGAACTTGATGGTAAAGGTCCTCACTTTCCAAGCTCTTGGAAGCTATCTTGAAAGTCAAGGAACCAGAAGTCTTAGCAATTGCACAGTTGCAACAGTCGACCTACGATTTGGCAAGGAAAAGGTGCACACAAGGGTGCACTTACTGGTTGATCCGGCTCCGCAATTGTGCATAACGGCCGCGGCAGCCGAGTTCAGGTTGCATGACGATGTTGCCTTGCCTGCATCAGGTATACTGGGCCACCCTGTGCAAGATGGATCAAGGCCGAGGCTTTTGCAGTGTCTCTGGGCTGCTGCATACAGGCTCCTGTGGACCCTTAATATGATTGTAAAACCGTCAGTTTACGATCAGATTCTTTTGGCCGTCCTCTGTTGTCTCGCTTTTCCACAGGTTCAATGTTGCGCATCAACAGGAATCTTCCCCCTGCAGTTTAATTCACAGCCTTGCTGCCATGGCGGAACCCTCGGGAGACCGCAGCCCAAGCCCTGACGTCAGCGCTGGCGGCCTGAGCTCCCCCTTCGAGCCGCTGCTCAGCCGCAGCATGTCGCCCGAAGCAGAGGAACACCATGCGCCGTCCGGACCCCTCCCACAAGAGGGGCCGCGGTCCCCCCTCCTGCGGAGCCCCAGTCCCCGAGCCGACGAAGCTAGCCCCCACTTCAGCCCCACAGCGGATGGGGAGGCGCCCGTCAGGCGCGCAAACGCGAGCGTGACGCCGAGCCCGACGCCCGAGAGGATCGTCATGCTGAAGCCGCCAAAAGCGACGCCGGACCACCGGAGGGGGCAGCGGAGTCCCAGCCCCAGCCCGATGAGTCCTCGGAAGAGAATGGGGAGAGCCGGGGGCGAGAGGCTGGAAGAAGTGCCGGAGGATGAGGAGTTGAGGAAATTAAGCAGGTATGGGGGGGAGGACGATCCGGAGGATGAAAGGAGGGGGGGGAGGGAGGAGCGGAGTAGCAGGCGGAGCGATGAGGAGAGGAGGGATAGGCGGCGAGAAGATGACAGGCGCGACCGGAGGGGGGATGATGACCGGCGCGATCGGAGGGGGGAGGATGACCGGCGGGAAAGGAGGCGGGATGATGATGAGGATCGGTATAGGGACCGGCGTCGAGATCGGTATAATGACAGGACAGGGGATGACAGGCGGGAAGACCGGAGACGGGGGAACGACGACGGCGATTGGGAGCGGCGCGATCGAGATAGAAAGAGAGACAGGGGGGAAAGGGAGGACGACAGGCGGGACAGGGGCCGGGGAGAGCCTCGTTTGCGAGAGGATGAAAACGGGAGAGATAAGGAGCTGAGGGAAGAGCGAACCGAGCCCGACGGAGCAAACGGAAAGGCTCCGGTTGTTGCAAACGGCCCGGCGAGAGCGAACATTGCGGCGCTTACGCGGACGGGGGGTGCGTACATCCCCCCGTTCAAGCTGGCGCGGATGATGCAAGCGGTGGATGACAAGGCTAGCAAGGAGTATCAACGGCTCACGTGGGATGCGCTGCGCAAGTCGATCAACGGGCTCATCAACAAAGTCAACACGGCCAACATCCGCAACATCGTGCTCGAGCTCTTCTCCGAGAACCTGATTCGTGGGCGGGGCTTGTTCGCTCGTTCCCTGCTCAAATCCCAGCTCGCGTCGCCCACGTTCACGCCCGTCTACGCAGCGCTCCTAGCGGTGGTTAATACCAAGTTCCCGGAGCTGGGGGAGTTAGTGCTGAAGAGGGTCGTGCTGCAGTTCCGGCGCGCGTTCAAGCGCAACGACAAGCCGCTGTGCCTGGCGGCGGTCAAAATGATCGCGCACCTAGTCAACCAGCAAGTCGCCCACGAGGTGATCGCGCTCGAGCTGCTCACGCTGCTCCTGGAAAAGCCAACAGAGGACAGCTTTGAGGTTGCTGCGGGTTTTGTGAAGGAAGTCGGAGCGACTCTGGCGGACATGTCGCCTCAGGGGCTGCACGGCATCTTCGAGGCAATGCGCAGGATTGCGCAAGAAGGCGAAGTTGGGCTGCGGGCGCAGTACATCTTCGAGGACCTGTCGGCGGCCAGGCGGACCAAGTTTGAGGCGTTCCCTGCCGTGGGGAAAGATTTGGATTTGGTTGAAACGGAAGACCAGATCACGCACGAGGTGTCGCTGGAGGACAACTTGGACCCCGAGACAGCGCTAGGTGAGTGTGCGATTCTTTGATCATGCAAAAAGCCTCCTGTCAAGGAGCGCAGCCGATTCTGAAGTTATGGTTTCTTAACAGAAGCCTCTTTCAGATACTGAGGCAAGCCATTTGTGGCAGGTCGTTTCTATCATGGTTAGGAAGTTGTGGGTTTTCAGCAAAAGCATCTTTGGCAAGCCGCTTGTGTCAGGTCGTTTCGATCACGGGTGTGCTGAATTGACCAGTGTTGCATCAGCGTCCTCGGTATCCAACTATTGAAGTAGTTATTGAAGTGGTTACACTTGCCCATCCTAGCTGTTTGGTTTCTGATTTGTGCACGATTGAGCACTTTGGTTTTCTGCTCGGCGCACAGTTCAGGTCCTCATAGCCCTTTCTTACAATTTGCGATGGAGTTTTGATCATTCCCTGATTGTTGGTGCAGACATCTTCAAGGAGAGCCCCACTTACCTGGAAGACGAGGCAGCCTACGAGAAGGTCAAGAAGGAGCTTCTTGGAGAGGTAAGGCAGAGCAGGTCTTGGTTGGAGAAAATGCTAGCATAAAGGTCTGGCTGCCATAGGTCTCCGACTAAGGTCTGTTTCAACTTTGGTGACTGTCTGAATCGAACTAGAGAGGGCGAACTCGTCCTACTGACCGACTCGGACACTGAGCACTTACCCAGATCCCTGTTCCAGACCCGTGACTACCCGCTGTCATTCATTCAAGCCCTTACTTGCTGTAGTGCAATCGAAACGCGTTTTCTTCCTGAAAGCGCGCCTGGGCACGTTTGAGATTTTTGCGTAACTTTGTTGCAGGAGTCTGAGGAAGAAGGTGGCGAGGAGGGCGAGGACGACGAAGAAGAGAGCGACGAAGAGGACGAGGAAGAAACGGAGGAGCAGATGCAGATCCGCGACGAGACGGAGACCAACCTGGTGAACCTGCGGCGTACGATCTACCTGACCATCATGTCCAGCGTCGATTTTGAGGAGGCGGGCCACAAGCTGCTCAAGATACACCTGGCGCCTGGGCAAGAGGTAAGGCCGACCGGGGCTAGGGATTTTTGGGCGGAATTGTCGGATTTGTCGATTTCAAACTCTTGGGTTTTAAGTCTTGCTAGTCCACAGTTCCTTCAAGCAAGCGGTTTGTCTTCCTGTGGGCCTCGGATTGGCGTGCAGATGTCGGCTTTATGCATGGACCTATGTTGCGGGTGAACTCTTGCAGCTGCGGGCGCTCTCCTGGTTTCCCGTTGTCTGCCACGATATGAAAAAACGCTGTCCGTGAAACGAGCCAGATCAAAGCTGAGGTGTCTGCCAGCAAAAGCCTGCCAAGAAGTCCAGATATAATCATGAGCCTGTCTTCTGGTCACGTACTATCAACACTTGATTGTCGACTACTGGTGCTCGCCGAATGCGATGATTGGCAGCTGCACGAGCTGGCTGACGTCATGCTGACCGTTGTCCGTGCTGTGCTGTGCCCCAGATGGAGGTGTGCCTGATGCTGCTGGAGTGCTGCAGCCAGGAGCGCACGTACATGCGCTACTACGGCCTGCTGGGGCAGCGCTTCTGCAACCTCAACCGCACCTACCAGGCCAACTTCGAGGAGTGCTTCGTCAAGCAGTACTCCATGATCCACAGGTGCGTCAAAGTTACGATTTTCCAGCTTTGGCGTGTTCGCTACAAAAAGTTTGGGCTCTCGCAGCTCTTTTCCCTGCTTTGAAAGCAGGTGTAGATGCATACAAGCATGTCGAGCATATTTGAAAACCCGCTTTCATCAGATGCACTCGTCATGGATTGCGAAACAACGGCAGTCAAGGGGTTGTTGTTTTGGTCAGGCGAAAGCTCCCCAAAGTCAGACTTTGTCCGGGAAAGAGAGGCCTTACTTTCCTCTTTCCGATAGTTTGCACTTAGAACTCAACGCAACGACGGAGGACCCGTTTGCGGTTTTCCTTTCGACATGTTCACCCGCCCCATCTTCTGACTGTCCGCTTTTTCCACGTGCGCAGGCTGGAGACGAACAAGCTGCGCAACGTGGCCAAGTTCTTTGCCCACCTGCTGGGCACGGACGCGCTGGAGTGGCAGGTGCTGGGCTACATCCGCCTCACCGAGGAGGACACCACCTCCTCCTCGCGCATCTTCATCAAGATCCTCTTCCAGGTGCGGCCCCGCATGCGCTGCTCCGTTAGTCCAATTAGATCTTTTTTCTGGCCTGTGCATCTAGAGGTGTCCTTAACTCCCTGGGAAACATCACTGTTCAAATCATGGTTTACCATCACTCTTCGTCCGGTCGTTTTGCGATCGGCTTACCCTTGCACGTATCCTTCTCCTGTTGCTTCAAGGTTTTTCGGTGCCTCGGAAAGCATCTTGAACCCTCAGCCTGTGGTCGCAGACGTTGCTCTTGCCTCTCAATCTAGTTTCTGCGAAGCTGCCCGAGCAGCCCCTCCCTTCGACCGTGTTACGGTGATGTTTACAAGAGCTTTGCGTTCGTGTACACTTGTCCCCGTCCCCGTCCCATCGTCTGGATCTGACCCTTCTCTAAACGCAATTATCAACCCGCGGTTTCAGGAGCTGTCGGAGCACCTGGGCCTGCGTCAGCTGAACGCGCGGCTGACGGACCCGCTGCACACTGCTGACGTGGAGGGCATCTTCCCGCGGGACACGCCCAAGAACACGCGCTTCTCGATCAACTTCTTCACGTCCATCGGGCTCGGGGGGCTCACCGACGGCCTGCGCGAGCACCTCAAGAACATGCCCAAGCAGATCATGCAGCAGCAGCCGCCCCCGCAGGTGCGCGCCCCGCCGCCAGCTGGCGCCTCGAGCTTTGAAGCCTATACTCGTTTATGCCTCTGTCTTCGGCCTCTGCATGGCTTGGCTGCTTTGGACTCTTCTTGCTTTTTCCACGTCAAGGACCAATGCAGCAGCCGCCAGGGAACCACTCCATCCTGGGTCAGCGTTTCTCTCGGCTAAGAGTTCCTTGTCTTTGCTACCTTTGCACGTGCCCAGTGGCTTGGCAGCATGATATCCACATGCGTTTTGAATCCCAGTGTTCGAAAAGAAATTCCGTGTTTTCTCCTTTGCTTCCATTCTACAAACACCAATTCGCTTTTTCAGTCGCACCTGAGTCATTTATCCGCGCAATGCAATCTGTGTCGGGCATGTTCCAAGAAGCTGATCACAGCGGGGATGCAGCCACCGTGCGTGTGCCAGTCCTTCAGTTGTTACCTTTTCCAAAAGGACTTCACTTCGGTCTAGAGAGGTCGGCAGCCACGTGTGCGAGAGAAGGCTTCGTGTCATTGCATCGAGCGTCATCAACGCTTATGAGATACTCAAGTCCTCAATCGAGGGCGCTGAGGCGTTTGATTTAGGCGGTCCGTCAGTGTTCAACGGGTGTCCTATTGCGAGATTCAGGACTGCCTTCCCTTTGGAGCTTACCTGAGCGCTCGCAACCTGTTAAGCCCAGTCCTTACTTGTCTATGTTGCAGGCGGACGCATCCAGCAGCGGCACTGACAGCGACTCCGAGAGCGACAGTGACAGCGAGAGCGACTCGGAGTCGGACAGCGACAGGTGAGGCGAGAAGCGGTTTGAAGTGAAGGCTTGCCAAGATTCTGTGTTCATACTGAACGTGCAAAGCCAAAGTCTTTCTAGGAAACTTTGCAGCTCCTTAGCTAGTCTGCGCATGTGATGCAGCATGATGTGACGAATGCAAAGAACGAGAGACACAGGGTCAAAATTGTTTGTTGTGTCAATTGGACAGACCGATCAATCTTTTCTGATCGCTGCCCCTGACATGCAGTCGTGCTGGGTTTCTCAGTATCCCTTGCGTCGGGTGTGTTTCCTGAACCTCTCTTTGTTCAGAATAACGGTGGGAGTGTTTGCTGTTTCTGATATATGTGGCATCGCTGGCTCTTGCAGTGAGAGTGACAGCGAGAGCGAAGATAGTGAGGAGGAGCGGAGGCGAAGGAAGAAGAAGCGGAGAAAGGCATGAATTTTGGATTTCTTGTAGAGGGAGTTGGCATATGAGTAGGCTTCTTAGAGTTCTACCTTGCTTAAAGAACCTGTCCATGAAGCAGAGATGCTGGTCTAAAAGGCCGTGCCTTTCAAGCGGTGTTCAGTTTAAAAGCCTGGTCGATGGACTGCTGTTTGATTTTCCTCTGGCCGCAAGTCGACCGCGTTCAAGGCTCCACTTCTTGCGAAGTTGGGGCCTTTTGTAACCATAATTGCATGCTAGGCTCTTGCTTAACATGGATGGCCTGTTACGTACGCTGGTAGCTGTTGCTAGATATATAGCTGATGGTCTAGGTCAGAATCACTGGCTCGGCCGGTCACAACTCTCCGAGTCGTGCAAGTCTTCAAGGCACCAGCATATACAATGGGATTATGTCCTATATAACAAGCAAATTATACATATATAATCACATGTGAAGCTTCATCATGGTCACTGTCAAGCATGCATGCTGAAGCACGGACTCGTCGGAACGTATTGCATGCAATAATCTGTCATAGGAACGTTGACGGCCTGCCGAATTCATGCCAAGCCATAGATGATTCTTTCAACATTCAGCTGGTGATTGAGCAACGATCAACTTGCGCAGGTGATTGGGCATTCCGGACAGTATTCAGTAGGTATGCTTGACATACTGCATTGGCACGAAAACATCTTCAACAGAGAGGGCTTCTTCATTGCAAGACGCCCAGATTGGAGAGGCCATGGCGCCCATGACTTTTAAGTTTTGGATTAGCGACAATACGGCCACACGTGAATGCTCGAGGAGCATTGCATGGAATGAAAGGGCGAAAATCCCCGGCTGGCACTGGATCAGTCAAAGGTTTGCTGCATAATTCACAAGCTTGACATAATATGTACCCTCATATCTCTACACGACCTACAACCAGCTTGGTCCAAGCAAAAACCAGCAGCCACGCTGAGTGCATGTTGCACTGCTGCGGCTACCAGGAGCTCCGACATGACCATGTCACCCAACCTCTTTCTCTGTGCTGGCGAGTCCAACAACTTACGAGCAGCAAGACTTCTTCTTGCCATCCTCAGCAGAGGTGTCGCCCACGTTGATGGTGGTGCCCTTTGAGGGACCTGGGAAATACAAGAGCAGGAGTTTGTGAGCGACGCAGGGACTGCATCCCACATCCAGGTCATGAGATGTTTTGCGTGCTCATTATTTTCTCGTCTAACGAGCAGGGCTCTGAGCCTTGACAGCATCTCATGACAACTTCTGTCTCACATGACATCCTCCCAAATCTCTTGCTGCAGTACGACCAAATTGCGAGGTGCTGAGACCCGTCAGATCAATCAGCAGGAGCATGCTTCGGCAGCATCTAGAGGGTTCCCTTAGTCCAATTCTTTTGCTGCCATAAGCTTCCACTTTCAGTCGCAGTACCGACTGTGACCTTCTGATCCTCAATCCTTGTTGCGACCATGCTGAGCTGTCGCTTTGTGGCATCGTCTCACCTGCGGTGTTGCCGCCCTCTACAGGGTCAAACGCCTTCTTGCTGACAATGCGGTAGATCTCTGTCAGGATTATTTGGAACGCCTGCTCAACGTTGGTGGACTCCAGCGCAGATGTCTCAATGAAAAAGAGGCCCTCCTTCTCGGCAAACGCTTGGGAGTCCTCAGTAGACACCCCGCGCAAGTGCCGCAGGTCACTCTTGTTCCCCACCAGCATGATCACAATGTTGCTGTCAGCATGGTCCCTGGATGCAAGCAAAGTGCAACAATCAGCAAACAGCCATGGAATTGGCAGAAAGTAAGATTAAAACTGAATGAAATGGTCAGAGGGTTGATCGGGGTGAATACGCGGCTGAATACGTGCATGGGACTTGAGCAAGTGGAGCTCCATTCCTGCTGAGAAACTATTGGAACAAGGCAAAGGGGTACTGTGATCAAGGTGGAACCCACCTGCGTGATTCTGCGCACGCTATGCCACTGATCCCAAGTTTAAGCAGCTTCTAGAGTGACGCGGAGCTCTGACGTTGGGTGAACGTTGGGCAATGGGACTAGTAAGCTGTGAGTTGAAGTGCATTCCCAAGCTCCTAATGTGAAAGAGCACCTAAGATGTGTAACTGAGAGTCCCAACGACCAAAAGGTGACAGACTGCCCCTCACGAATGCGCGAAAGACAAAGCTGCAACCAATCTCTTGAAGATGGTTTAGGCCCCAGCCCCGCACGGGGGGCACTTCAAAGCAGAATCAGGCACACCTCCCACTTTGACAGGTATCGCACACAATTGTCTAGACTTCCAACCGCTCTGCAAAGTTGAACAAGACACTTTTGCGGCTGCACTCCCAGCTTTTTGTGCAATAGATTCAAGTTGGTTCAGTACGAGCTGAAGTTCAGCGGTGCACTCTAACCAATTGGCTCTGTCGGCCACCCTGTGATGAACCACTCAAGTAAGGACTTCAAGCCTGGAATCTGCAGAGCGCATATGCTTCAAAAACCCTAATACTTCCGAGTGATCTTTTCTATCTTCATTCTATCTGCATCAGTGGTAGCACTATCCCTGCAGAACTTTCCAGTTCGTGCCAACAGACCACCAGCACAAGAGTCCAATAAGTATCAGTAGCATCCGTCGATTTCCATAAGGTCTCAAGTTCAACCTACCTGAGTTCCTTGAGCCACCGCTCAACATTCTCGTAAGTAACATGCTTTGTGATATCGTACACCAGCAATGCCCCAACCGCCCCCCTGTAGTACGCGCTGGTAATGGCTCTGTATCGCTCTTGACCTGCAGATGGGAGCCAGAACAACTTTCCAGTTCTGTAAGCATACGAAGTAGAGGAGATGCATAGCAGATGATGGATCTAGAAAAGGCAGCAAGCAGCCATGTGAATGCGTGCACAGGCACTTTTGGAATAGAAGTTAGTCATTAGTTAGCGCCTACCTGCAGTATCCCAGATCTGTGCCTTGATTGTCTTTCCGTCCACCTGGATGCTTCGAGTTGCAAACTCAACCCCAATCGTGGACTTGGACTCTAGGTTAAACTCATTCCGCGTGAACCGCGAAAGCAGGTTGGACTTTCCGACTCCTGAGTCTCCAATCAGAACAACTGCAAAGATGGCAAAAGGCGATAAGAACACAGGCAGCAGCCAATGAACAACAACCTCTCCTGGCACTTGACAGAACTTTCCAGCACGCAAGTCTGCCTGAAAAGCTGTTTATATGGCATTTCTGAACAGTGCTTGTTCCGCAAGCTAATGCGCTCCAGAACCTCTTGCCTGCACACCCATTTTGATGCAATTCAATTGAGGGGAGTCCAACATGACCACTTGAATGCATACGCTGCCACTTTTTGAGTTAGGGGTGCGCGCAAACAGAACATGCAAGCAGAATGTCAGATCATGCCCGCTCAATTTGCCTCAACTAAAGTGACCACGTCCGGCTGTAGTACGCTGTTCTCGAAAAGTTTTGCGTGCTTGGATGTTGTAATCAGCTTGCAGATCACAGATGAGGATTACACCGGGCTTCCAATTCTGAAAGACACCCAAGAAACACCCCTGCTTACAACATCCTGCTGGACTCCTAAACATGGGGAAACGATTCATGTATGTATCCGCAACATCAAAGATGCCCAGCGCCAATCCAATTGTTTTCGAGAAACAGAGTCGCAAGCTTTGATGACTTGCCTTTGAAGAGGAAATCATACTCGTCATCTGGCTTATGCGACATGTTTGCTACAATACTCTGTCTGCTTTCTAAAGAATGCGCTCTTGCACACCTCTAGGTGCTGGTAGTGAAGAAGTCAGTGACCCCTGCAGAAACCCTGCTTTGCACTATTGTAAATGTACAGAAGCGCACAACCGTAAGTATCCAGTCTGCGCAAGCAATACTTCCTTCAGGCCGCTTAGGAAACCTGGGCAACAAAAGAAACGCGCCCTGTCTTATCCAGCAATCCCCACACCTCCAATTGTGTCTCTACCGTGAGATTCTGAGAAGGGAGAGAAGCGCTTCGATTCCGCAAGGAAGGGGAACTCGCTGGTCGACTTGCACTGTTGAAAATTCGTATGCTGGCACTGACACTGACAGTGAGGCTGGTGCTGGCCACGCAGTTTGAAGTTTCGTCGTCTTCCTGCCGCCAACCGGTCACAATTTCTACCGATCACTCTCAATCTTGTACCGGGTCAGTCAGAACCCTGCAACCTCTGTTCGATATCGATCGATGTATACCATCCCCTCTTATTCATTTGAAGTTCTAGAGTTTCACACACGCAGCGGTTGCAAAAAACACGGTGCTCTGTAACCGAGCTCAGACACGCACCCGGGTCATGTCGACACAGTACAGCATCTTCACGAGTCCGCAGCAAACTCGATTTCCAGGCGCGGATTTGGCAGCCAACTGCACTGGCCACCATCAAGGACGGTACTGCTGTTCGTTATGGCTGCTTTTGTCTCTTTCAGAGAAAGCGTTTTTAGTCTAGAAGGAGATGAGCTGCACGCTAAGGCAGCAAGAATCCCGTTTTGTCCAGCAATAGCACACCACCAGTTGACTTCGTGATTGCCAGGCACTTACCACGGCAACTTACTAATACCACCACTTTATGCAGCTAATGCATGTTTTATACGCTCAGGCGTGGACTAGATCAAGCACCACCTCTGAGAGTCTGTTTTCATCATGCCACGCGATCTGTACGACGCGCTGGAGGTGGCGCGGGATGCCAGCCCCGACGAGCTGCGGGTGGCATACCGCCGGCTGGCGCTCGTCTGGCATCCGGACAAGAACGCCGGACGGCAGGAGGAGGCCACTGTCCGCTTCAAAGAGATTCAAAATGCATACGAGGTGCTTAGCGACAAGAACGAACGCGCCTGGTATGATGCACACAGGGAAGAGATCCTGAGGGGGGGCAGCACTCACTATGCGGGGGCAGAGACGGGCGCCCCACAAGCGGAGGAGGGCATCAACCTCTGGGCGTACTTCAGCACTTCGGCATTTTCGGGTTATGGGGACACCGGCCAGGGGTTTTACAGCGTCTACGGCAAGGTATTTGACGAGATTGCAAAGAACGAAATGCAGGTGAGCCAGCAACAAGCATCAATTTCACTGGCGTTTTCAGAAATACAGACATCAGAATTTCATGGCAGATGCAAACTGGGTTTCAACTTTGTTGAGACGGTGGTGGCTGTGGCAGCTCGCAGCCAAGCAGGTTGCATCCATGATCGTCCCCAATCAAGCTTAAGAGTTTTGAGGGCAACAGCCTTCATTTCGTCTAAATAAAACTGAGCAGCCGCTTAGTCACAGTTGTTGGCTTTGGTGCATGATAAGCGTGAAGAAGCTGGGGTGTCAAGTGCCCTCGCGAACCAGCAAGCCCCCTCTTACCACCCTTCCATTAAAATTTGTTCTCTTCACAAACTCCTGAAGGGCCATAATTCTTTTCTCAATCTTGTTCTCTCACCAGGCCGCCCGGCGAACCGGCCTCGATTTTAGCCCCCTCCCGTCCTTGGGCACCTTCTCGAGCCCCTACTCGGCGGTCTCGTCGTTCTACTCCCACTGGCTCAACTTCACGACCGTCAAGGAGTTCCTATGGGCTGCCGAGTACAACCTGGCCGCGGCGCCGAACCGGCAGGTGCGGCGGCTGATGGAGACAGAGAACGCGAAGAAGGTGCGCGCGATGCGCAAGAAGTTCAACGAGGAGGTGCGCGCGCTCGCGGCGTGGTGCAAGAAGCGCGACAAGCGCGTCATGGAGCGGACGCTCGAGCAAAAAAAACTGCAGGTGGGGGCCGCACCTGTTTGCAAAGTGGGAGATCGCTCTCATTTTACAGGACTTGATTGGAGTAGCACCTTTATTTTGGAGTTGGCAATCCTTCGCACTTCTTCGTGTACCAATTTGAAAATGTCTCTTTCTTCGTGCAGATACTCTTCTCTGATATGAAACTGCAGACCTTCAGGGCACTGTCCTTCTCAGCGGTCAGCCTCCTTGAAAGCCCCTCAGTTGCGAGTTTAATGTTAGGGGCTTGAAGCGATTTGCTAATAGTAGAACACAAGTTTTTTTCACCAACTTCTCTCACCTCAAAAACTTTGGGCGAAATACAGGAATATCTATACCTAGATTAGTTCAGTTAATTCTTCAACCTGACAGGCGCTGCGAGAGCAAGAGGAGGCTCGCGCTCATCGTGAGAAGCTGGCCCGTAAGAAAGCGGAGGCGGCGGCGATGTATGTGGAGCAGGACTGGGCGGTCAACGAGGGGGCGGAGAAGCTGACGGACGAGGGCTGGTGGGGGGACGCTTCAAAAGACAAGAAGGAGGGAGGGGAGGAGGAATTTTACTGTGTAGCGTGCGGAAAGAGCTTCAAGTCAGAGAAGCAGTGAGTGACCCAGGGCTTGTTAAGAGCCGACAGGTGGTAGCCGTAACATTCTTTGATGGTGAATTGAAGTGCGCGTTGTGACGAAGAGAGTTCTTGCAGAGGAATTGTTAAAGGGCATGACAGTCTGATTGGTGGGAGATTCGATAAAAGAGGCACGCTCTGCCACGGTCCTGACGTAGATCAGGTTCTTTGCTCGCAACATATTCTACCGTCCACTAAACCAGAACGGCCACAAAGATTGTCGAGCGCATCCTCACTCGGTGAACGGTTTGGCAACGACATGATGACCCTCAATCTGCCCACAAAGCGTGTAGAGAATCAGTCTTTTCCTCTCAGGTGGAAGAACCACGAGAAGTCCCGGAAGCACCTCGAGCGGGCGGCCATTCTCAAGGAAGCGCTACTGCAAGAAGAAGAGGACGCTAGCGCAGCCTCAGACGACGAAATCCACGACGACTTCGACACCGCGTCGGAGGGCGCTGACGTCAGCAGCGCGCAGGATGACATCAGCAAGGGACGGGGTCCGGTCACGGACGAGGAGATCCTGGCGGAGTTGGATGCGCAAGAAGCGGAGAGGAGTAGGAGGAGTGAACTAGAAACGGGGGAGGAGGAAGCGCGGCCGCCTACCGAAGATAGCGAAGCAGAGGGGAGCGTTGGAGATGATGAAAATGGTAGGAGCGACGGGGCAGAAGAAAGTGGTTCCGAGGCTGAGTCCGAGGACGGGTTAGGCGATCTGATGCGAATGCAGCAGCAGCGGGGTTCGAAAGGAGCAGAGGCAGCAAGCCAGGGGTCGGACGATGGGACGGTTTCTGAAGATGCGAGCCAGGAATCTGAAAGCGAAGCTGAAGAGGACGGCGCAGAGAGCGGGGCGGAAGACGACGATGGGCTAGGGGACTTGCTGCGATTGCATAAGGCGCAGAACGGGGCGGTTCCTCGGACAAAGAGGGGCAAACGAAATACTTCTGAAGCCGGGAAATCGGATGAAAATGTTGCGGAAGAAAGGGAGACAGAAGCAAACGATGTGGAGAAGGTTGACGAAGAGCCGGGTGCCACAGACGTGGCTCCGACAGGCGAGGAAAGCGAGGGGAAAGCTAATGAGGTCAGCGCAGAAAGAGATGCAACCAACGAAACGGCCGAAGTTTCGAAAGAAGAGAATGACGAAACAGAGGCGCCGCAACGGGACACGGCGAAGGCGAAAAAGGCACGGCGGGCGGCGAACCGAGCCAAGAAGGAAGGCGCGCAGGCCGCCGAGCTTGCGCCGGATGTGACGTCAGCGAGGGGCAGGAAAGGGAAGAAGGGGAAAGGCTCGAAGGTGAGGCGTTGCTGACCTTTCTTCTTCGAGAATCTCTTACAGCCTCAGCACGTTTGTGCTTTGACGCGGGCTTCGATTCCCGGGACCTTGGAAGCAGAGTTCCTTGTAATGAGGGGTTTTGAGCACAATATGCAGTTTACGTTGTTGACAGTGGGTCATCTCAACACTGAAAATAGGCTTTGTGCTCTTAAGCACTATGCCCGCCTCCCCACAAAACGATCCCTGACAAGTCCTGGTACTGATTGGAAGGTAGGAACAATCTTTTCGAAGCCGCTGTGCAAAGGGGCGAGAACAGAATGTCATTAGAAGCTGTGGAAGGCGAAGTTGCTTTCTCTGCCGATTCAGTGTAAAGTGTAAAGCACGGTAAGCTTGTGAAGTTATGAGTTAATGCGACCATGCGCCGAGCCTAACACCGGCTCTTCACCGTTATTACAGGCAGCCACTGCCGGTTCCCAGATGGAGTGCGTAACATGCGGGGAAGAGTTCGACAGCAGGTGGGTCGGACACGCATCCTTCGCTCATTGCCATCGTATCCTGCTTTGTTCACCTTCGTTGCTGTCCTCATTTAAGAGCCGTTGCCGGAACCTTATCCACTCGTATCGCTCTTGCAAACCGATTGCAACCACCGCTACAGATTTTGGCAACCTGCATATTCACTCTAGCCACAATATGACCGTCTTTGGTGGAAGGTGTGCTGCATGAGGTACCAAAGCATCCTCCATAATTGGAATCCTGAATCTTTGTTTGATAGCCCGGATCCAGGATAGTCACTTTCCCACAACAAGAGTGCTTGGAAATATCTGGGAGCAGGACAGTCGGTATGTCACCTGCGAAGGCCTGCAAAGTGCGTCGCTGATTTATGTTTGGGCTGTCGGAAGCAAGTTGCGACAGGAACAAAGACCGCTCACAGTGTTCTCCTTGCTGACCGCAGAACGCAGCTCTTCAAGCATCTCACAGCCACAGGACACGCCATACCCAAAAGGTGACAATCTGGGTTACATGACCGGGACTTCTGGGCAAAGTTCTCAAACGGGGTTTGCATGGCTTTATGGCGTTCAGCCTGTCGTGGAGAATTTATCGAGCGAGCAATTGGAAGGACAGGTCAGGAGAGTAGGTGTGGTCTGCCGACCAGGGCGGTAGCATGTCCTTGATCGAGAATGAGCCGTCCTCTTATTGTCAGCGGTCGGTCAACTGTAAGTGCGCTCTTGCTATGTTTTGTATAGAGTGCGTGCATTGGCGGCTTGACTTCACCTGGAGAATTTCAATGTACATACGTCATGCCGCATGTGCTTACTCAGTCACTTGCTTCTGAAGTGACATGTTTGCGGCATTGACTTACCAGCCAGCTGCCTTGCGGCCTCTGGCAAGCTTGTCGCCTTCGTCAGTGCGGTACTGCACATGTTCCGTGTGCTGACCATCCATATAGCCGTGCGCGTCTGGCATGTCGTGGGTGCACTGAATGAAGCAATATGAAGTCTGGTATTACGTAAACTGCAATTTTCCAACTTTGATTCTAAAGTTCACTCGGACAAGGGCGGCCTATGCATGCGTCTTCCGCTCCGCGCGGCAGTTGAAGCGCCCTAGGCAGCAGGCGCTGCGCGACCTTGCGCCGCCCTGCAGATCGGCCGCGGGCAATGATACTATATATGCTCAATGAAGTAGATCGATCGAAGGCATTTATGATTCGTGACTCCCGTCAGTGCACTTGTGCTTATATAATGGGGGAGTCCCGGCGCATGGTGCCGTGCGTGGGCCGCCCGGCCGCGGCCTGGGCCATGCTGGCATGTGCATTACATGGCGGCGCACGGCGCGCGCGGTGCATCTCCGTGGTCCCTAAGTCAAGGTCGACCACAACGTACACATAATACGCACTAGAAGGCTTTCTGTGCACAAGTTACCTACGGTGGGTCCCGGCCGAGTCGACTCCCGCAGCGAAAATGTGGGACCCGGTATCAAATTTCGTCAGTAGTACCGGCGGTCCACGTTACGACGACTCGGACTTCTGTAACATGTACGCAACGAGTACTCTCAGTAATTTCCTCGTCCGTCACTGAGTGTCATAATAGTGTAGTGGACTGTTATATTTTACACTTTCACTGAAGCATCAAAATGCCACACTATGAGGAGGCTTGTGAAGCTTATAGAAACTCTTTGACAAGCAAAAAAAAATGTTGGGAGGGCGTCATTAGATGTCCTTTGAAGCTCCAACATCAAGTTTTATTGAGGGCAAATCTCAATTAGCAGCATAGGAGGCGCACAGTTGGGTATCCAGAAAGTTGGTGTCGGATTTCCCGGTGTCGGATTTTGGAGAGTCGTAGCCGGCAGAGGCTCAGTTCCGACCGCAGACTTCGTCATAAATTCAAGGGTACCGTTCATCGGACGGTACAAAATAAAGAAAGATAGGTACGATCAAACATGCTGAGATAATAACACGGTGTCACTGCACTGAAACGGGATTAGTATAGGGGTTTAAGGTGGGCACGGGTGTAAAGCGGGTATTTATACGGGTTACGACTTTTGGTTTTAGTCGGGGTTTAGATACTAGGTAGATAATATCGAGCCGCATATATACGCATTATACATATATTACGGTATACCTATCTCCTTGGTCTCATAAGATGTGCAGTCCGGCCACAGGCCAATTGCAGCTAGGCGTGCTCTCTCGCGCGAATTCGCCTTGAGGACATTGGTCGGAACTGGCGCGAAGAGCAAAATCTGCAAGATGTTGGCGCGAGAATGAAGGCGGGGGTAGGTACCGACCGGCGCGTCCTCTTCGATGATGGGAGGTTTGCAACTCCGACACCCGCAAATCCGACACCAAGTTTATGGTTACCAAAGTTGGCCGCCATTCTTGACTTTTGCAGAGCGCCTTCTCTTACACT